TGTTAGTATTCTATATATTGTATGTCCTATTCAATTTTTTACGATTAGTTCACTTACTAGAACTGCAAATTAAAGGTGAGCATATTCCAAGTGGCCACGTTTTACCTTGCCAAAGTACTACCTAAGCGATTGAATATATTTAATAAAACAAAAGATACTCTTATTTTCGTTTCTGTGAAAACAAAAATATTTACTTCCTCCATTGTTTCTTTCGTTCGATGCTTATGTAGATATGAAACGTTCGATATTTATATAACAGTAAAAAAGGGAAATGCGTGTTGGTGTTTAATCACTATGCATGTACTGTATATATAATGTTTATGATATACATTTATCATAGAGATTACTATCTTTATAAATACTATACATTTTATCTATTTTATCTTGTGATTTGATTGGTTAAGGGGGATACCGGGATGATTGCTGTCTAATTGGAAACAGATCGGAAGCCCCCTTTTTACACGTGATAAAGAAAAATTTTGGTGAGTGGGTGAGTGGGCAGTAGAATCGATGGTAATAAAAACATTTTAGCTAACAATCGCCGAGATTTACTTTCTATCCATTAAAACGAAACGAAGATTTTCACTTCCTATCAATTAAAACAACGGAAATTTTAATTTTTTTGCAATCTTAGTATAAAAGTAAAAGAATGGTAGTTCAATCCATCGTCTGGCAACTCCAACACCATATCACTCACGTGTGCTACCTCACTGCCACTTAATGCTGCGAGTTTTCCCTGCTCTGTTTCCAGCCTCGGGCATGCCTCGCTATTTAACAACCTCCTAACCCAGAGCCTACGCTCAAGTTAGAATGTTGACATCAAGTTCAGATGAGACACTACGTTCAACGTGCTGGCATTAAAGTTGTAATTCCAGCCGAGAATTGTTCAGCATTCTGTCCGTCATAAGCAACGCTACAGTTAGGCGCAACCCCAACCGACATATTGCTGCTAGTATCTAATATGTTTTTTTGGCTTATATTTTAATTTTTCTAAACTTGATCGTCTTGATTATAAAATTGTGGGATTGAACAAAAAAGTAACGCGATATGATTGGTGCAATCTTTTTCGGCAACTGCAATTTATCCATACCGACGTCAATCTTGATTTAAACGTTTTAACAAGAAATTGGTTTAGTTTTATAATTTTATATTATTTAAAAATAATGAAAATAATAAGAAATTCAATTTGCAAATTTGTTTATCTTTGTATTTTGGTTCGAACAAAGTGTTCGATTAAGATGAATTACTAATGTTTTTTTTTTGGTACGTCACTTTCGTCCATTAGTAAAAATTTCATATTCCGGCCCTATTATGTATAATTTTTCTATTAGCGATCAAAAATTTGATAATATGCTCGCCCAGTTTTTTTTTCATTAAAATTGAAACAGACGGTATTGAATAATTTCGTATAATATAACGACATTCGCAGATAATTTCTGTCTACGAATTGACGATTGACGAAACTTCTAACAATCTACGATTATCGTTCCTTTTCTTTATGTAAAGAAATTTAATAAATATATGTCATTTTGAGTTAACTTTTCGATTCGATATTAAGTCAAAACTAAGAATACCTGAAACCTTTCGTAGGAAAACGTTAGTGACAAATGGTGAATCATATTAAGAACAAATTGTGTGATAAAAGTTTTTATAAGTATTACACAGCTCTGCGGAAAATAATGGCGTTTAAAAATACCATTCTTTTACTGTATATACTTGCTTTATT